TCTATCTATCTATCTATCTATCTATCTATCTATCTATCTATCTATCTTCGTAGATTTTCATGGGTACAGGTATGTAGGTCTAGGTGTGTTCGGGTCTTTTCCCATGTAAGATTAAGAGTATCTTGGCGACATTTCGGTGAGGTCCATTCGCCATCCTCAGGCTGGTGCTTTCGGCTTCATGCCAGTGCAAGCAGTGTGTGATTGGAACTGCTGTCTCTCTACAACAAAACAACAAAACTCACAAGGCCATCACACAGCCCATTATACCAACATCAACTCCATCAACCAATCAAGAGGCAGCAGCGCAGCCAACCAGCCCAGCACACCAGCCCCCACCACCAGTATTTATAGAGAGATGGCAGCTCCAATCACACACTGCTTGCACTGGCAAAAAGCTGAAAGCACCAGCCTGAGGATGGCGAGTGGGACCTCACCGAAACGTCGCCAAGATACTTTTAATCTTATACGGGAAAAGACCCGAACACACCTAGACCTACACACACACACACACACAAACATATACATTCAGTTTGCTAAATTATGACCTCATGTTTTCTTTCTAAATTTGCATTCTTTGGGAATGAAGCATGACTAGTTTTGTGCACAGGAATTTTTTTTATTTTGAAGCACCATATATTTAATGTATACTTTCAATAATACTTACTTTCAAAAGATAAGGTTCCATTTCATCCAATGTTTTTCCTAGATGTTTATCTGGATCTAAACCTGTCAAAAGGTTTAAACGTATTTTAGAGAATGAAGTACTGTTTGGATGTCACAGTTTACTCTTTTTTTAACATTTTAAAACAAACCATTAAAAATACTTTCCTGTTTATCAAAAATAACTTTGGGGAAACAAAATTGTCCTTAGCCAGAACATACTCTCTTACTTTCTTTGAACTGCTGATTTTTATCTTGGGCAAAAATAAGTTCATTTCCTTTGCCCTGTGCACCGAGTGGAAAGTATATTGTTTTAGTGCTTGCTTTCAAATAAATATTATAAAACAGAAAGCAAATTATAATATAATTATAAAAATGAAATATTCAACTGAACTTGACAACTCTATAGTATATTAAAGGTACACAGCTTTCTAAGGCTAAATTGGATCATTGATACTATGATCCAATTATGACTAAAGCTATTTCTCTTCTCAGTCCAGCCATTTTTTTTCTTTTTATAATATCATTTTATTGAAGTTATTTAAGTATAAAAGATACAAATGAAAATGAAAATAATGGAAAAAGGGAAAAAGTGAAGTATGGGATAAAGGGCAAAAGGAAAAAAACTATTAATCTCCTACACTTTTCAATGCAGAAGAATGAACATAATAATGTTAGACCTTTATTTTTTACTTTGTATATTCAGTAAATACTAGTCATTTCAATAACAAAAAAAGTCTAATCAGTAAATCCCAAAATCAAAGTTTCATTTTTTTCTATATCAAGCACAAAATCCAGAAGCAGTTTCCAGATACAAATAAAGTTAAATGTGTTCTTTTCTTTAATTAAAGCAGTTAATTTGACAATTTCTGCTAGTTCCATCAGTTTGTTCAATTTTCCCAACCATTCTTCCATTGTGGGAATTAATATATCTTTCCACTTCTGTGCTGCTGTCAACATGTTTAACAACATTCCATTCTTTTTCAAGTCTTTTGTCCATTAAACCCAGAAGAAATGTCTATGGTTTAATTTATATATTCATTTGTATATTCACGACACCAAGAGGATGCTGCAACAATCATAAGTGTGAAAAACAGTCATGTCTCTTTTTTCAGTGCCATTGTAACTTTGAACACTAAAGGAACTGTTTACAACTAAAGGAACTGTTGTAAGTCATGTATATTTTCTGTTTCTTATAGAAATTTCAAAACAATTGGTAAAAAGATTTTTTTAATAAGGTCGTTGTCTGTTATTACCATATCAGCTTCTTGAATTTTCTCTATCCTTTTCTCTTTCTTTTCTCATTTTATAAGCCAATCATCTTCCTGCTTTATTAACAAATTCAAAAATGTCTCTGTTTCACATAATTCAGTTTAATTTCTAATTTTCGGACTGTTAACATAGACAGCTGTTGACCTAGCAATTCAATTTGGTGTAAAATTTGGTTCATTTTGCAGTTCAATCTCTTAACTTCTACTTTCATTCAGTTTCTTTCATATCTTTCCTTGGAATTTCTTTTTCTCTAGACAGATATATTGTATGAAATAACCTTTCATAAGCTCTTTGCTGGCATCTCAGACAGTCATTAGTAGTAGTTTATTGATTGATTAGCCTTACGATCTTATCAATAAAATAGACAATCATGAGATCAATTTGTCCGAATTATTGTTATTGATCTAATTTCTTTTTACAGTCCTTTACAATCATCTCTTTCTGTAAAATGAATCATTCAATTTTCAGCTATAATTCAAAATCTTTTTTTCTGGGGACCAAAATTTGGGTTGTGATCTGAGAATGATTCAGTGAAAATATAAACTTCTGAGATTTTATTTGTGAGATTTTTTTAGAAATCCATGTCAATTCTTTTTGCTCTGCCCAGCAATTTCTTGAACACTTTCTTAGGCCCAAGCTAGACATAATAATACGCAATCCGGTAATATGCATATGCATATCTTTTGTCACATAAATACTATAGTATAGCAGCATTAGAAAATGTTGATCATACTTTAAACTATGAAAGACTTTTCACTGCTACGGAAGAAGTATTAAATTTATTCCTCTAAACCTATTTGTTTTTCAAGTGTAACCTCCACTGATACAAATTCTCATAAAAAGCAAACAGTCATTATATGCACCATTTTTACTGTTGCAAAACATGGCTTAGTCCTTGTAGGATTTATACTGCAATACGTTCTAGATAAACGCTGAGCTTCCAGATGTGCTAGATTTTAAATGCCATCAATCAGCTTGACTGGGCCAATGAAAAATGGAGTCCAGTTATTTGTACAAATTCCCAATCCCAATTATAAGGTTGCAGTCAAACCTACACTTGACTTTCACACAAAGTTGAAGCATCTGCCCACCTCTTCTGCAATGAATATTCCAAAGCTTATGTTTCTTTATTCAGAATTTATTTCTTCTAATGGCAAAAAGCCAAATATTTTTGGAGAATCTACTAAGTAGTGTATGGAATCAAAACTTCCTTTTGTTTGTTCCCACTTTTGGTACTTAGCGACAATCTGTTCTACCCTCCTATATCTTTTCTGGTTCGATATACTTCAAGGATATCCTTTCATTTTTTTCTCTCCCTTCTATGGTATTAATTTTAGATTAAAAAGTATGGTGTATTTTTACCATTCTTTTCTAAACACATTTGTTGGGAGATGATATTATTTGCAGACCAAAGTCTACAAACAGCACATAGTACTGCTATTGGATATTGTCCTTATTCAAGCATAAATTTTAATTTTGTTCACTGTGCCCAACTGTTCTAAACATCTGTTTCCAAAAGGATCTCTGAATAATTATTGATGATTTGAGAAAACATACTGACAAGTATTTTCTTAATCAGGATCTTAATACCAAGATCACATTGCACTTTCCAAATGTGAAATCATTGAGGATAAGGAAAAGAAACCTGGATGGGTGGATAAACCTACAACAAGCCCAAGCTATAGAAAACTCCATGCAGAATTAAGAAATTAATTAGGAGGAAGAATCATAATTTGCTGGGCTGACATCTATTTTACTTGACTTGCATGTATCCAGAGGAAGCAATTATGATTCAATTAAAATATTCAGTTTTATTACTTTAGTGGCTGACCTTGAAGTTAATGCCTATTTTATTTAATTGCATCATCTATGAATAAATGTTAACCCTAGCATGTTATGCCCCATTATTTTTAGTGCATTTTTCAACTCTCTGACTGAATTATATCAGTCAATTAATATCTACTGTCAAGAAGCAACCAACGCTTTATTTCTTGGAGAATATTCTAACAAATGATAGGAAAAGCATCTTGAGAGGCTTTTAATAACATCAAGTAAAATGAATTGGACTAACTTCACAACTTCTGTGCTCTGGAATATTAATGCAAAGTTAGTGTGTGCTGTTACATGTTGCATGAGTCTGAAATCATATTTATATAGTAAAGTGTAAAAATATAGACTCTGATAAATATTTTAATTAGGAATATATTGCTATCTTCTAACAGCATCATTGCTAAAAATATTTCAGTAGGTTCATACACCTGTTAGTACAGTGGTACCTTGGAACTCAGTTGTTTTGAAAGTCATCAAACTTGGGACTTAACACATTTTGATGAAAAAATGTAGTCCTTGTATTGTTTGTTTGGTAGTCAACGCACAAGTGAGAATCTGTCAATAGCAATGGCTTGTGACTGGCTACCCCTTCCAGTCGAAACAAAGGATGACATGTTAGTAGCTCTTGCTCTGTGTACATCTCCTGGTGATCTTAGCTTCTGTGGTCATTTGGTGTATGTTTGTGGTTTTTTTCTCATCAGTGCAGGTAAAGTTTTAATTTTATTCAATATTATTTTCTATGTTTATTTCTCATGTAAAGTAATGGTGTACAGCTCTATCTTTTTACATGTTGCCTTAAAATGTGCATTGTCTTTGGTTTGAGAACACAGAGCCAGACAAGATAACTCCTTCTTGCTTAAAAGTCTGTGCTGACCAATTGGCCCCCATCTTCACCCAAATCTTCAATAAATCACTAGAGATGTGCTATGTTCCTTCTTGCGTCAAACGCTCTACTATCATCTGAGCACCAAATAAACCCGCCATCAGGGAACTGAATGACTACAGACCAGTTGCTCTAACATCTGTAGTTATGAAAAGCTTTGAAAGGCTAGTGCTGAAAACCATCACGGATCCGCTGTTAGATCCCATGCAGTTTGCATACCGAGCAAATAGATCGACAGATGATGCTGTTAATATGGCTCCGCACTACATCCTACAACACCTTGAATCTCCAAATACCTATGCAAGGGTCCTCTTTGCAGACTTCAGTTCAGCATTCAATACCATCATTCCAGATATTCTTCTACTAAACTAAACCAGCTAGCAGTACCTGAACACACTTGTAAGTGGATCATAAGCTTCCTAACAGACAGGAAGCAGCAGATGAAGCTAGGCAGAATCACATCTGATACCTGTACGATTAGCACATGGGGCTCCCAAGGCTGTGTGCTTTCTCCACTTCTCTTCTCCCTATATACCAATGACTGCATCTCAAACAATCCATCTGTTAAAATACTGAAGTTTGCTGATGACACAACAGTGATTGGTCTCATTTGAGAAAACGACAAATTCGCATACAGAGAGGAGGTTGTACAACTTGCCTCGTGGTGTAACCAGAACAATCTGGAACTGAACACACTCAAAACCATAGAAATGGTGGTAGACTTCAGAAGAAACCCTCCCATACTACCACCTCTCACGATACTAGACAACACAGTATCAACAGTAGAGATCTTCAAACTTCTAGGTTCTATCATATCACAAGACCTAAAATGGACAACTAACATCAAAAACGTCATCAAAAAAGCACAACAAAGAATGTTATTTCTGCGCCAACTCAGAAAGCTCAAGGAACTGCTGATACAGAGGGATTCTTGAGTCTGTCATCTGTACCTCAATAATTCTACAGAGGAATTATTGGCTTTGCAACCCAACAGGACAGACACAGACTTCGGAGAGTAATTAGGACTGCAGAAAAAACAATTACTATCAACCTGCCTTCAGTCAAGGACCTGTATACTGCA